TTGCGCCCTCATACAGTGAATCGGCAAAATTAGGGGAGTTATCGCATACATAACGGACGCCACACAGTTTTGGTTCATGCAGAGCTTCACGGTTTCACGCATTATCATTTTAAGAGTTCTGAGCTCACGGTAGTTGGTATAAACAGCGAAATCTCCTTTCTTGTGGATTGGGAAAAGTATCTACACTGAGTTTTCAATCTTCTTTCACATAATTATTAAACCAAATTTGGCTTAACATGCGCCCTACCAGCTCTTCGCCGGCTGCTTTGAACAGCTTAGTCTCTAAGCCGTCTGCTCCAGGAGCTTTCTTGTTTCAAGTCCGGTTATTTCTGTTCTCATTTCATCGTCATCAGTTGGTCCGGGTTCTTCTTCATCAAACGCGCCACCTGTGTCGAATATACTGTGGACGTCTCTTACCCGATTTCCATATTCATTTTTGCAGGAACTATCCCCGGTCGTAAACGTATCTAACAACGCTATGGACGATATATATTCCGGTATCGAACCCATTTGATTGCGTCCTTATTTTCTAATAGCATTTTCGAGCGGCATTACTGCCTGCCGGCAACTCTAGTTTTTTGCTTCCTCCTCTAAACCCAATCTATTCTTATCTAATGTAGGCTTAGTACTGTTAGTGTAGACCTTCGAAATTTCTATGTTTTATAGCTTTATGAAGTGCCTTCTTATTTGTTTGCAACTTTACAGGTTCCTTAGTACTAAATACAGATGATGAGTCCGGCAATCCCCATGACATCAAGTCGAGTTATGAAGATGAACATAGCTTTGCAGATTCGGAATATATAAATATGAAAAAGCTATCACAATGCCATAATACAGCCGATGAACGAAGGTAAGAAAGGATCGTTCGCAAGCTAAAATATTAAGAATTCACTGTATGGCAATTTTTTTCCACAGCACCGACGGCGAATGTACACTCTCGGACATCGAAAGCTCGACCAACGACAAATCCAAAGCGGTTGTGACGCGCGTAGTGGCTCAACAAAAGTCGAAAGAACGACGTAAGCGTGAGCGGCTAATAAAACGTAGTGGCTTGCTGATATTTTGGCTATTCGCTGCAGTGGTTTTGATGATATTCGACGAGAAGCATTTGCTGGAGAAGACATTGGAAGTGCCGTGGAATAAAACGAAAAGTTGGTGAAAGAGTTTTTTTAGACACGCTTTTACTCATCTATTAGAAGAAACGTATGGCTCACTAATTTCCATGTTTTTCCAATTTTCCTCTAACTTTTAGACTTTGTGCTGCCGCAAAATCCCACCGGTGACTTCAAACTCAAAATCTTCGGCACTTTCAATGAGACCATGAGAATGTATCACCATGACGATGATGGAAAATTTCTGTTTGTGCAACCACAGTTGTCCTACCATGACAAAGTGAATAATCGAAAGGATTATAAGGTAGTGCAGCTGTAGAGTAAAAATGAAGTAACTCATTTTAAATCCTTCCTTCACCAAACAGAACATTCTGCAACCCTGGCTAATACCAATCGTTGCGGAAACGCTCTTCGAAGTCGCGCCGGTCGTTTGGCGTAATCAAACATACGAAATGCCGGAAAATATTTTGCGTAAGCTAAAAAAGCCCGGCGCGCAGATGCGTCTGAGCATGTACACTAATGCGGAGAAGGACTTCGCCGTAGAATTGGTCTACAATCCATTGATAATCAATAAAAAGACTGGCACGCTGCTCGCTTCGGGTATTTTATTGATCTTCTATGCGTTGCTCGTGTGGGAGGTGAGTCGTAAAGATGTGATATTTACGAAAACAAAAGTTTAATTCTTGAACAAAATTGTTCCGCAGGTCTTCCAGCGCACCTTTGTGGCCATCATTTGCTCTATACTCTCCGTCGCTGTGTTGGCCTGCTTCGACGATCGCCCAAATATGGAGGAGATCATCGAATGGATGGATATGGAGATGTTAACGCTGCTATTTTCTATGATGATTATAGTTGGCATCTTAGCAGAGACGGGTGTTTTCGATTACATAGCCGTGTTGGCATTTGAGATATCGGGCGGTAAAATTTGGCCTATGATATATTTTCTATGCTTTATAACTTGCTTTGTATCGAGTTTCCTGGATAATGTGACTACAGTTATTCTGATGACGCCGGTGGCGATTCGGTAAAGTTGGGAAAAGTTTGAAGTTTTATGAAGAGGTGACCACTTAAATGTACATATGTATATTTTTTAGACTCTGTGAGGTCATGAGCTTGGATCCAGTTCCGGTCCTGTTGGGCATTATTGTGCAATCGAATATTGGCGGCTCGTTGACACCCATTGGTGATCCAATTTCGATAATCATTTGCTCGAATCACTTCTTTACGAAAAATGTAAGTGAAAAAAAAACATTAATAGAAAGCTATGATTTGAACCAGTTTACAATAAAATAAGATGAAAATACACCGAGTTAAATATCAATAGCGATGCCGCTAAATTCCGCATGTTACAGTTAGTTAAAAGTATAGGAACAATGTTATCGATAAACATTTTGATTATTCACCGATAACTATAACGACAGTTATTCGATAAACATATTGATAATTGAATGATACTGCATCCTTAACGTTAGCGGCAAAAAATATCGATATCGATACCGATAACAATATCAATTGCAATTTTGATAGAAACCGAATGCGACTGATTGATTGATAGTCTCACCAATAAACATGTCGATAACTATACCAATAAAAACATTGATAATTTCAAGATAAACATATCTATAACTCTAATGACAAACATATCGATATCGATAGTGACATCCATAACAATATCAATCGCAATTTTGAAAGAAAACGAATTCGGCTGATTGGTTGATAATCTCACCGATAAACATATCGATAAATGTACCGATAAACACCTTGATAATTTACTGATAAACATATCGAGAACGTAGTCAGCCTTATCCTTAGTTTAGCCCGAAAAAAAATTCACCGAAATCTTTCCATCCGACCGTAGTGAATACATATAAGCGAAAAGAGAAAAGTGAACGATTTCGGGCGAAAACGAAACTCATGTTCGATCTAAATTTATAACGATATCGATGACAATAACAATTGTAATTTTTATAGAAAATTAATGCGATTGATTGTTTGATAATTTCGTCTATAAGTATTGCAATAACTTTTAAAATAATTCACCGATGTATACATAAATGACTAACGGAAAACTTATCGATATATTTTAATAACATCGATAACAATATTAAGAGCAAGAGGATTTATTGATAATTTCAACAATAAAACTATCGATAACTTCAACACTGAACATATCGATAATTACAACGATAAGCAAACATATCGATTTATATTTAACAACATCGATAACAATATCGATAGGAATTTTGATTGTAAGGGTAATATAACAGTGAATTTAGTGATTATGCATAGGAAACTTCTCGCAAAGGATTTCAATAATACAAGTAATGCCGATAAACGTTTCGATCAACTTATCGGTAAATACATATGAATGTATAAAATACACAGATGTCAGTATCGATAGCGATATATCTAAAATATATCAGAAATTATGCCAATATAAGTTTCGATAACAATACTGATGCATGTGTGCATCGATACTATACAAACACAAATAAAGCTATATGGAATTTCGGTAGGATTTCAATAAATGTGCAGACATTGATGACAATAAATATATATGTATGTATATCTATTATTATGCCAATAAATTTAACTTTACTGAAAATATATCGAAAACGATATCGCCAAGGAGTTCGATAATAATAACGAAAACATACCCCAAATACACCGTAGATAAACACATTTAAAAAACCAATCACAATAAATTTTTCGATATTGGAATTGTTATCGAAATATTTATAATATCAAAAAAAAAA